GTTCTACATGAAGTCAGGTAGATGCTTATAAATTTTCAAGTCATTTAGCTCAGCAAAAAAAGAATTCAAAATCGCCAAAAATGGCGGTGTCAAAACGTGCTCGCCTACGTTGTTTTTCAGTTTTTACTTTTTATTTTCACTTTATTTCGGGGTGTAAACAATTTTATTATTTTTTGAAACTTTTTAGTGGGTTTTGCATTATGTAAAGTACACATTTGTAAATTTTCAGGGCATTTCGCTTTGCCAAAAAAAATTGAAAAATCGCCAAAGATGGTGGTGTCGAAAACGTGCTCGTGCACTCACTAAATTTAATTCTTTTTTTGTTTTTTGTTATTTTTATTATTAGTATTTGTTTTTCGTATTCTATTATTATTTCAAATTTGGTAAGGAATTTGGTTGTTATCCTCATGAAAATCTTGTTTAATTTATTTTTCTTCATAACATATATTTTTTTCAGATTTTTTTGATTTGTTTTTTGTTTTTTTTTGTTCGGCCCATCCCCAAGGGGTCCCATAAGTTTGGGCATTCCCTAAGGGGTCCCATACGTTCGGGCGTTCGGGCTCGGGCGTTCGGCCCGTCCCGAACGCCGGTTACCCTGTATATATATATATATCGTCCCAAATATATATATATATCGTCACAAACAGAACTGGCCGGTAAAACCGTAGGCATAGAGAGAGAAGAGGACAACAAACGAGGGGCTGTGACAAACTGTTTCGTTGGAGTTTCACCGACTCATCAGGAGGCTGAACCCTCAACAGTCTGCAGAATCCCCTCATTGATTACACTGTAAATGATAATCTACCTTAACCAAAATCAAAGTAGACTATCACTCATCCACACCAGATGGAAATATAAATATGTATATATATATAGTTGTCCTCTTCTCCCTCCCTGCCTACGGTTTACCGGGCAGTTCTATTTGACGATATATATATATTTATTTATTTATTTTTAATTTTAGGTATCCCGTCCCATAGTGGGCCTTGTCCCACTAGCATCGATTTACTCTTTGGAGCCAGGGTTTTCGACGACGTGCGGCCAGAGGTGACATCCGGCGACCGTTGATCCTTTTGTGTATCTTCGGTGCATGGCGATGAGGACCGAATTCGTAACGGGGAAAGTCCGCTGGCCAATAGAAGAGTTTCGTTTACAATTTTTTTGCCATTTAGGTAGCCACTTTGCGTTGGCGCGAAGCTGCAATATTAGGGAGGTCGGAGGGGGGGGGCGTTTTTGCATCGATGTTGTTTTCTTTTTTTTTGTGGAAAAATAGAGAATATTGAGATTTCGGTGGAAGACTGCGAACAGGCCGTACCCGGTTGGTGGAAGTGTGGATGCACTGAAGTTTTGTCATGATGTCGATGTCAGGCCCCGTAATTTTTCGTTTTTGGGTCTTTTTCTTTGCATTTCTGTAAATGAAAAATAACATTGTTTATGCGTTTTTAAATAAGGAAAAACTGCCACACACTGATTGAATCGATGCTAGTGGGACGAGGCTCAAGGGGTCCCATACGTTCGGGCGTTCGGGTTGGGGCGTTCGGCCCGTCCCGAACGCCGGTTACCCGAACGCCGGTTACCCTGTATATATAACATATTCGCCTGAACGCGAACAAGCGCCAAAAACCCTCCGAATGCGAACATAAAAAAAAAAAAAAAAAAAAGAAAAGAAAAAAAAAAACGTTCTCAGAAAACTCTGAAAAAAATTATATATGTTATATACAAACAATACAAGCAGTTTTTGCCTTGGAGTCATGTTCAAATTCGTATCCAATCATAAGTTAAAAATCAAAAACCTTTTTTTTTTTTTTTTTTTTTTTACGAAACAAATTATGTTCGCCCGAACATGTTTGTGAGTTGTTCGCGCGAATGCACGAACACGTTCAGGAGAACATGAAGGGGCGCGAACACGTTCGCTGTGCTATGCAGGGTCCCATCAACAAAACCTTTATAGTTCGAGTTATTTGCCCCAATTGAGGCAAAAGGAGCAGCAGACCCATAAACAATTTTTTATATGCGTCAAACGTGACAAAAAATACGACAGACCCAAGAAAAAAAAATAAATTCATTTCGTTTCAGCCCACATTCTAGCCTGGGTGCAAAAATAACACAAAAAATAATTTTTGGGTTGTCGTATTTTGCCCCGTTTGGGGACAAATTAATATAAATGTTTTGTTGTGGGGGAGATTTATAACTTTTCCCTTTAGCAAAACTAAATGCATGATGGAAATTGATATAGGGAATAAGAGGCTCAGGGCATGATTCCACTAGCAAAGAATTAAGGTAAAGTGTATCCCATAAACACATGTGGGATATCCGCGAAACATCGTTGGACCATTGGTGCAAGAAAATCGTACAACATCAAAAACACGATGAATTTATATTTTGAAAGTTTTTTTTTCTTTCTTTCTTTTTAATTGCAAAGAATGACATGTGGGGAAAAAAATAAAACTCATTCTGGTTGACGTCACTTCAAAGGAGGGAAAAAAAAAAACTTCAAAGTGTGAAGATGCAATTTCAGGTTTTTGAGTTTGCAAATTGAAGGCAAATTTAAAGAAACCCGCGCCCAGGAAGAAGACCGCTGCTAGGTGTGAAGATGCAATTTCAGGATAAAATAGGAATGGGGGGAGAGAGAAAGAGACACATAGAGAGAGAGAGAGGGAAGACATCTAAACTGTAAAAGTGAGAAAAAGTAAACGGGAAGTTGTGTATCATGATAAAGGACCTAGCAAATAGAGAACACAGAGGAACTTGAAAGGCGATATTTATACCAGAGTTAATCCCACTTTCTATGTAGCAGTGTAACACATTCCGCCGGTGGTGAACATCTTACACCATCTGAGTCAACGGCCCGGGGCTTAGTACATTTGGTGCCCATTCCGTATTTTAGCTATGTGAGCTTCCATCATATCATCATCCACATCATGTCTTCTACATTTTGTATACTCCGATGTAGGCGCGATCACAAAAAAACCATTAACGCCATAGCCAGAATAGGAAAATTTACTACAAGCTGTAATATCTCCATTGCGCTAGCAAGACGTGGGAAAAAAATATTACAAATTGGTTGTGACCCAAAACATAAAGCCAACTGCAGTTACTGTGTCTCTCAAACTCTCTCCCCCGGCCAACACTTATCATCACTAGGATGGAACTGACGTAAGTTTCAACAGGTCGGCAGGGTGGAAATAGCGCCAGTTGGCAGGAAGGAGTATTCCGCCTGTTTGCTACTGCGCTTAGGGTTGCGCTCGTTATAGGACTTTCTCACAACACAAAATGACGACAAGCATGGGGCACCAAGTTTCGAACCTAGTCCAACACAAGACGAGGGTTGCGCTCGTTATAGGACTTTCTCACAGTCACAACACAAGATGACGACAACCATGTAGCACCTGTATGAAGTCAAAGTACATCTCTTACGAGGAGTTTCTTTCCCTATGCAACCGTTTGAACGCCGTGAACGCGCGTTCATGTTCAAACCCCCCGGACCCGCGTTCAATCGCGTTCAAACGCGCTGCGCTCGCGCGAGGGCGAAAAAATTGAACGCGAGCCCACGGGGAGCGCGCGCGCGTCGGGGGCTACGGGGTGGTGGTCCGCGTTCGACAAACCCCCAAAGTGCC